TGCACCCCATGGAACAACTCACTGCACCCCGTGGGACCACTGCACCCCATGGGACCATTGCACCCCATGGGACCACTCACTGCACCCCGTGGGACAACTCACTGCACCCCGTGGGACCACTCACTGCACCCCGTGGGACCACTGCACCCCATGGGACCATTGTACCCCGTGGGACGGGGGTCCTGCTCCATTTCCGGGTCCCAGCCCCCTGGGATGCTGACTTGGACAGGCTCAAGGTCTGACTTTCAACCCTCCAGGGTATCGGGTGCAAGGACCTGGGCTACAGGTGGCAGGGACAGTCCCAGATCAAGGACCCCTCAGTGCCCACCTGTGGGAAGGCAACCCCTGAGGTGGCTGGTGGATCCAGGCAGGGGTACACTCACCTCAGGCTCCGAGGATTGGCACCTCGCTGTGGTCAGAGAAAGGCTGGTCACCAGGGCCGGTGAGGGTGCACCCTGCTCTGTCCCCAGAACCGCCGCCCGAGGCCTCACCCCCAGAATCTCTGCACTGTTGGTGAGGATCCCTCGAGAACAGGCTTACGGTAAGCGGACAGGTCCACGATGTTCTCCGACGGGATGCTGCTGCGGGCCGCAAGCTCCAGGAACTCCATCTGCCCCTCCTGCACCACGTTCCGGGACCTGCCTGCAGCAGCAGGGACAGAGGACACTCAGCAGTCAGAGGCCTGTCCCTCTCAGATGGACAGCTCAGGAAGAAAGACAAGGGCGCCAAAGCCCTTGGGCATCCACTGCCCACCATCTGCCCTCTCCTCAGAGCAGGCTCTGGGTTCATCCAGTCAGGGACTCCCAATGGCACTCGAGAGATGACCAGGGCCTGCACTCCCACAGCCACCGGCCAGGCCTGAGAGCAAGCCCAGAACAGCCAAAGGGGAGGGTCCCAGCCGGGGCATGACGCCTCCAGCCCGAGAGACTCCAGAAGGCAGGCCCCAGGAGCTGTGTGAGGTGGGGTTCCCTGCTCCGTGGGAAGCTGTGTCCCTGGCACCACCTTGGTACCCACCATATAGCTCCAACACCACTAAGCCGTTTTTGTAGCTCCTGTTTTCCGTGACCACCAGGGCATAGTCAGATGTGACTTTCTCAAAGGTGACGTAGTTCGTGCCCTCATCTGTGAGGAAGAGTGGGGTCTGTTAGGTCGCCTGCATGCACCCCAGCACGCACCACCATGGGAGTCCCCAGCCCAGTCCCTACCCCATCTCTAGGTCTCCCACTTTTCTCTTGGTCACTGCCCCTCTCTTGCCGCCTCTGTGTCTCACCTCCCGCCCTCATCTCTTTCCTCTGCTACCACTCATTTCCTTCACTTCCTCTCTCGTCCCCCCACATATCTCCCTCCCTCCATCTCCTCCCATCTCTCTTCCTTCTCCACCCATCCCTGCACCCCCACAGTCTCTCCAACTCTTCTTCCTCTCTCCCTCCCGCACGCTCCCCTCCTCTCTCTCTCCCTGCCCTCACCAGTCTTCTGTCACTACAAAATGTCCTGGAAAATCCCACTACCTCTTATTTCCAAAGGAATTCTGACTGTTTCTAGACCAACTCCAGGGTCAGGCCCTCAGGGAGGGGGTAGAAAAAGGGGCCCTGTGGGCCACTGGGGACCCTGGGACCCAACTTGGGGCCACTATCCTCAGATTACACATTTCAAACAGAGGTACTCCCCATCTCCCCACTCTGGTCACCAACCACATTGGTTCTCCCACACAGGTTTCCCTATACTGGTTCCCATCACACTAGTTCCTCACACTGGTCCCCCCACATTGCCCCTTCAGTCTATTCCACAGACCCCTCCTCATGTCACTCACTGGCTGCACTGCCTCTCTCTGAGCCACCTCCTCCCATCTGGGGGCACAGGCTGAATCACAGACACTTCTACTCACATTCAAACATATAGCGGCCCGGCCTGTCTGTCTTCTTCCCAATATAGAATTCCTTTTTGCACCGTCCCTCTTCTCTGGAAAGAAACCCACTGTCTTGGTGAGTCATGCAGAAGTGCCTGGGGCCTGGGGCCTGGGCCTGCCAGGAGGACCCTACAGTCGTATGGGAGACAGGGTACCCCTGATGTGTGTGTGTGTGTGTGTGTGTGTGTGTGTGTGTTAGAGAGAGAGAGTGGGGCTGGGGTGAGCTGGGCTGTGTGCTTGGCCTGGTCTCTGAGGAAGGGGCTCTGCGGTGCGGCCTCACCGATGGAAGTAGGTGACCTTCAGGTCACCATTCTTCAAGGTCTTGATGGTGGACATGAAGCAGCGGTAGGAGCCACCTTCCTTGATGGCAGACCAGTCCGTGGCGCCCAGCTTGATGGAGAACCATTGCCCTTCAATCTAGAAATGAGGGGGAAGTTCTCCTGGCTGAGCCCTGGGAGGCTAGGAGTGCCCTACAGGTCTGAGGGCGAGTCCTGCCTTCTCCCAGCCTCTGGAGGGCATGGGGGTGTGGAGGACAGCATGGGGTACAGAGGACAGCATGGGGTGCAGAGGATGGCATGGGGTGCAGAGGATGGCATGGGGTGCAGAGGACAGAATGGGGTGTAGAGGACAGCATGGGGTACAGAGGACGGCATGGGGTACAGAGGACGACATGGGGTACAGAGGACGGCATGGGGTACAGAGGACAGCATGGGCTACAGAGGACGGCATGGGGTGCAGAGGACGGCATGGGGGTGCAGAGGACAGAATGGGGTGCAGAGGACTGAATGGGGGTGCAGAGGACAGGCCACAGCTCCTGTCCTGTGTTAGGAGCCACTCCCGCCTGGAACTGTGGGAGCTGGGCCTGCCGTGTCCACCACCACTCGGGCTCACTCTGGAGACAGTGTCCTCCTGTATGAAATGGGGCCACCCTGCTCCACATGGGGTAATAAGGGGCAGGGACTCACTGCCCCATCCTCTGTCCACTACCTGGTCAGCATGGAAGTCAGGTGGCGACACCGGCTGTGGTTCTGAGGCCGCTCGGGCCAGACTTAGCCCCAGGCAGAGCAGTAGCAACATCTCAGCTTTGCAGCTTCCAGACACTGGGGTGCTGGCTGCGCCTGCCTGCCTATATTGGCCTCTGGGGGCAGGGCGCCCCCGTAAACAGCGCCCCTCCCCACCAGAAGGAAAATGTTTGCAGAGCCAGCATCCTGGACCACAGCCCCGGCCTCTGGCAGCAGACCAGCGCGTGCTGCAAAGGTCAGTGGAGGGGGCAGTGTCTGCAGATGGAGAAGGCTTTGTGAGAGACCTGCCAGGGTGGAGGTGAGGCTAGGGAGCCCTGCAGTGTCTTAGGGGACATGACGACCATTCCAAGGTCCCCAGAGGCACCTTAGGTCTCTGCCCGGTGCCGTTGGCACTCAGCCCCACTGGTCACCTTTTAGTGATTTATCATCCACACTGCTGGTGCTGATTCTAGACACCCAAGGCTGGCTGTGCCCAGGTGAGGGCCTGGCAACCTGAGGTCAGCTCTACCTCCGGTCCCAAGGACCCGAGATCCCAGCGAGGCCACAGCAAGGCAGTGGGGTGTGCGGTGAGGCCACAGCCGCTCCTCATGTGACCCCAAACCCAGGAGAGACCTTTCATCCACTCCACCCCCAACCCTAGCTCTGGACTTGACTGACCGCCAGCTGTCAGTGCAGGAAACAAAGGATTAAGGCTCCACATTCCCCCAAGGCACTGCCACCCTCCTGGGACTGAGGAGAGGCCGGATCTGCAGACCTGGGCTGCAGGTACCACCTCCCTCAGATAACAGAAAGGGCAGGGGAGTAAGGAGGGGGGATGCCTGGGCTTCAGCTGAGGAGCTTCTCTGTCCCTCAGGAGGCGGAGGTGGGGAAGCACAGCACCTGGCACTGGTGTGTGCACAGGTGTGTTCAGGCGCGTGCGTGTCCCTGGGTTGCTGTGTGCATGTATGTGCTCACATGTGTACCTATGAATTTATACACACATGTGTGTATATGCTCCTGTGTTGGTGCCAACGTGCTTGTGTGCATCTGTGCAGCAGATGTGTGTCTGCGTGTACTGAGTGTGTACATGTGTGTCTGTGTCCATCAGTCTGTGCCTGTGTGCACACTCAGTCCTCCCCCGCCCGCCGGCTTCTCCACACCCTGCAGATTCCAGGACCCGCCGTGCTGCACACCCAGAGTCGTTCACACTGAGTCACCCTGAGTCCTGGGCACCCGGGTGATGCCACATGAATGAGGGGTGCCTTACCCTGGGCTCTCTCCATCCCTGCTTCAGCTGAGAGCCCGTGTTCGAGTGAGGCAGTGAGGAGGACAGAGATTCCTGGACCCTGTTAAGTGAAAACGCACCACCACCACCTTGGTCAGTGCTGACCTCAAGAGAGCCCAGGAGGGTGGGTGGAGGGGGAGGGCCTTGGCAGGAGGAAGTGGGGGGACATGTCCACGTGGCTCTCTCGCCCTGGGACACCATGTCTGTTAACCGCTGGCGCTGGCCTGCGGGGACATGGCCAGCCTTCCTCCCACCTTCTGTCTGGGTGAAGAGCCAGCTAGACTTGTATCAAAGCCACCACCACAGACATGGATGTCAGCTCCACCGGTGCCTCTGGCCACAAGGGCATGGCCACTTCAGCCTCCCGTCCTGACCACAGGGTGTGGCCACCTCAGCCTGTCAGCCAGCATGTCCTGACCATAGGGACAGTCACCTCAGCTTCCAGTCCTGACCACAGGGGACAGTCTCTTCAGCCTGCCATCCTGATGATCACTGATGGAGCCCCACTCCATCCTTGTCTACAGGAGAGGGCCATCAGGGTCCTTCCCCACGTCCTGTCCACTTAGTCCCTTCCATGGAATCTGAATGACTTTTGGTCAGAGGTGAAACATCTTTGTCCATGAACTTCTGGGTCCCACCCACTAAAAGACACAGCAGGACTGCCCAGATTCCTGGAGAGACTGAGATCTGGCCTGCATGCTGCCCGGTGTGGACAGGACCCAGGCGACCCCATGTGGCCATAGGGTGCCACGGCCAGGCCACACCCCCACCGGCCAGGCCCACACAGTGGCCACGCCCCCAGCAGAGAGCAGAGTGTCCTTCCAGGAGGCAGGGCAGGGTTGCTGTCTGGAAGCTCCTGTGGGGACCGGACCCCTTCTGCTGGCCTGAGCACGTGCTGCTTTGTGGTCGAGGTCACTGGGAGAGGCAGGAAGTGCCTTCGTTTCCCTGTGTGATGAGCTTGGTGACGGATCCAGCTTCCCCGGAAAATCAGCTGAAATGTCACCAGTACACCCTGGACAGGTGAGGCTGCAAGAGCGGCCAGACGGCCCAGCACCTCAAGCACAAAGGCCAGTCACTCTCCCTGAGGTGAGCGATCCCAGAGGCAGCGAGTCGCAAGGAGATGGGGCGTCAGACAAGCATGCGCCTCCTTTCTCCACCGAACAACTGGTGGATTCGAACTCCGTGACTTTGGGATTGCAATGCAGCTTCTTAACCCTAAGCTATCTAGTTGTTTTTGAGTCTGAGAATTTCTACATCACTAATGGTTGTTGCTATATACTGTTGAGTCTTCAAAGGCTGTAAATTGCATGGGAAGAAACAGCCAATCTTTCTCCCAAGGAGCAGCTGGTAGATTTGAACCACTGGCCTTTGAGGTGGCACTGTAACGCCTTCCCAGCAAGTCCCCAGAGCTCCCCATCAACAATGGTAAGTGGAGAGAGACTTCTTTCCTAACCCGCTGTGACTGAGAGGTCCCTGTCCTGTCATGCTGGCCAGGCCTTCATGTGCTGCAGAGTGGGAGTGAGGCCCAGGCACACCCTTCCCTCCAGTCTTAAGAGGAAGCAGCCAGTCTTCGGCCCTGAAATCTTTTGTCAGCTGTAGGGCCTGGTTGTTGCTTTGTCAGAAGAATCATGCTGTTTGATCTTGTGGTTGAGTGAGGTTGTCTGACACCTTCTGATGTCTATGAGGTTTACTACACCTGTAAGAAGCCAGGAAATCCAAAGACTTATTGTGCTGGGAAACCAGCAGCCAAGGACCTCTCTACAGTGCCAAAGAGCAAGGGTATCAGTTTAAAGACTAAGGTCCACCTGCATCAAGCCGTGGTATTTCAAGTCACTGAAGGGCGCCTGAAAGCTGGACCATGAATAAGGACAAGCGAAAAGGAAGCTGTACTCTCATGGTCTTGGGGAAGAATGCCGGGTATCCCAGGGGCTGCCAAAGCAGCAAGCAGGTCTGTCCGGGAGGATGGGAGGACGTACAATGAGAGACCAAGATCCACAGAGACAAAGATGCTGACATTTCCTTTCACAGGCTCTCGGCATGTTATCAGTAGAGACCAGTCTTTGGAGAAAGAAAGACCCTCCACAGGATGGCCCGACAGTGACTGTAGCCATGGACGTGAACGTGACACGGATTCTGAAGATGGTGCTGAATAGGGCGAGGTTCTGGTCTTGTCCATGGACTTGCTGGGTCTTAGTTGACTTGACAGCGTCGAGGAAGACCCTCAAGTGATGGATTGAGAGGGTGACTGCAGCCGTGGGTTCACACATGTCAGATACGGTGAGGATGGTGCAGGAAGGCAGTGGGTTCGAGTCAGAGTCGGTGAGACAGTGAGGCCGGCACAGGTCAGAGCTGTCGTTCACAGGGTCGCTATGAGTCACTCCCAGCTAGATGGCTCCTCACAACAGCACAGGGTTTACCTGGCAGTGGCTTGACCCATGTGACTTAGCCAGGTCATGACCCCCCAGCCAACAGAGCTAAGGACAGCCAATGCACGGCTTTCAGATGCAGTTAACACACCCAGCTGTGAACACGAAAGTTGGTGGTTTGAGCCCGGCTGTCTGCTCCCGAGTGAAGAGCTGGGGACTTTGTGGAGGACGGTCCCCTGAAGCACATGAGCATCTGGAGTCAGAGCTGGGACTGACCCCAAATGACACGGGCCTGTCCACAGAAACCAGCCACCTGATTCTGCTCCCTACAGTCCCCCGCCCACAGCCCACCGTGTGCTGACCAGGACAGACTCAGTGTGAGGGTCCAGCGTGTTTATTAGGGGAGAGAAGGGGCCCAGAGCTTGAAGTCCACGTTGGGGTCGGGAGGGGCAGAGGAGGTGGTTCTAGAGCAAGTAACCACCCTTCCTCCTCGGCCACTTTGACTCTTCAACCAAAAGGATATTCTGATGAGAATGGGGTGACGCGTACCCTCAATGGGAACAGTTGGGCTCCTGGGACACATTTGGACTTGGAGGACATTGCAGACACAGCACCAGCCGCAGCTTAGCCAGTGATGGGCCCTCCTTGGACAAAGTGAAGCCCGTGGACCAGCCTTAGCCTCAGAGTGGGGGGCCTTGACAGCCCTAAAACAGTCTCCTCTCTTTCCCCAGCCCCTACCCAAGATGGATAGCTTGGGACTTGGTGGAGCACATGAAGTGACCCTTTGAGAGACTGACCCAAGAGATGCCTGTGCCTGGTCAGTCAGGACCCATCCAAGCCATAGGAGACCCCCTCAGGAGGTGGGTGGACACCTTACCCTACGAGGCCAACCAGGGACTCACCTATACACAGCACCATTCTGCGGAGAAAGACAGGATGGGGCATGGAGGGTGGCAGGGACACAGACAGAAGTAGGGGGTTTTGAAGTGGAGGGGGGACCCCTCACCCGCTCCTTGGGGGCCTGTTGGGGAATTGGTGACAGCAGACCCAGGAGCAGAGCTCGCCAGGGGCCTGGGCTCCCATTCCACCCCTACTAACGAGGTAAGGAGTCCTTTCCGGCCTTAGCACTGACCTTTTCTCTGGATGAAGTCCAGGAGGATGGGGGTGGACTGGATCAGATTCTTGAGCTGACCCCTGAATTTCTCCAAGACCCAGGACTTGACATTCAGGGTCCTGCCTGTGGGAGGCGACAAGTCAGAGCCAGGTGTGGCTGCACCCTCCTGCTGAGCTTGGCTCTGGCAGGTCCCAGCAGGCATGTGTGGCCTCCCTCCACCCACCTGAGCTCCAGGCCACCATTGCTGTCTCCGTCCCTGCCTATCCCCCAGGCCAGTGCTAGCCCCCTCACTGCAGGGGAGAGGTGACAGGAGGACGCACACACTAGTGTCCAGTCCCACTGCGTGCCCCAGGGTACTGACTGGAAGGTGGAGAGTCCCTGCTGTACGCTTGTTGGCTCGGCAACCAGCGAGGGCCTGCTCGTGTAACCCCTACCGAGGGCACCTTGCTCATTTTCAGGGCAATGCAGTTGGAAAGACACTTTCACATCTGACTTCCCATTGGATGAAGTTACTTAAAATCTCCATAAACACGGAAGGACAGACAAAGGGAGCTCTGTGGTCTAGGTCTCAAGGAGTGACCGTGAGGTTCGAGCCCACCATCAACCCTTTCTCCACAGCCTGGGGACCAAGTGGGGAGTCAGCTCCAGGTCTGCTGCAGTGGGAGAGCTCTCTCACCACTGTCCGTGGGCGGCACCGCTCAGAGCCCAGCTTCTAGCCTGAAGGGTCACCATGCGACCTACCAGGGGCCGCCTCAGAGCAAGGCCGCCCAGGTGCCTCCTCCTTGGCACAGCTCCAAGCTGCACCTTTGCCTAGAACGTCCCCCCCTTTGCCTAGAACGTCCCCCTCTTGGCCCACGCCAGCCTTGGATCCAGCCTCTCCTGCATCTGAGCTGTCCCCAAGGTCTCTGTCAACTTACTCACTGCCTTGAACAACCCCTTCCTACCTGAGGCTGCACAGGGGCCCTGAGGCTCTTGGGAAGGCCAGTGAACAGATAACCGTTTCCAACAAGCTTCCAGGGCTGAGGGTCCCCACTGTGCCCCCTACCATCTACCCTGCAGAGCAGGCAGTAAGCTGCATTCGGAGCCCATCCCCTCCAGAGCCCAGGGGCCCAGAGCCATACCGAGGAGCTGGCACATGAGGTTCCGCTGAGGGGCAGTGGTGTCCTCCATGCAGACTGACATAGTCTCATAGTCAGTGTCCATCATGAAGAGCTTGATCTGGTCCAGGTCCAGAGGAGGAGCAAAGACAGAGACAGGGAGGAGCTCCAGCTGCTCCGTTCCCACAGGTGCGTACAGGCTGCGTCTCCTTGAACAATTACTCTGCAGCCTCCCACCGAGGCCACCAGGGCCTGCTGCCCTCTCCTTGAGGTCCATACTCTAGTCAGTACACAGCTAGTCCACCCTAACTTCAGGGGGGCCACTTCTAAGATGTAAACACCTGCACTAGGATACAAGAGCTCTTTCTCCTCCAATGACCTCACATACTTCATCAAAGAACAAATAAGATTAGAAAAGTCTTCCATACGTACTGTGTCTCTCTACCGGGCACGTTATTCTACTCTTAAATGGGAAGCTAGTTCATCCATCCATCCATCCATCCATCCATCCA